ACACTCATCTTTGAAAACTAGAAAAGTGACCTTTGGTTCTTCAGCTATTTTTCCCAACACTTCTGATGATGGCATTGCAGTGGATTCATACAAGAAAATACTGAAATTGTTACACATTATGCTTTTCACCTGTTTTGTCAATAACTTATCAAAGAGAATTGCTATGGCATTGCACCCTAGTTCTCTAATGACCTGAGTCTTTCGTGACAGCACAACAGAATAAAAGTCAAATGTAGTCTCACCAGGTCTCTGAATTACACTACTTGCAAATCATTTGTATTTGGGAGTATCAAGTGATTGGTGCTCTTTGGGAAAAGATGACTTTGGAGAAGCAGTTCAAAATTAACTATTCCCTCATCTATTTTGTACATGTGATTATTTCAAAATATAATAGCCCACATTTTAGTAATATTTCTTACATACCTGTATATTTCAAACACTAGCAAAATATTTGAAAAGCCACATGGAAGCACAACAGTCACTAATATCAAAGGTATGTGCACAATGTAATGAATCTTGAAAAGCCCCAACTATCAGAGTAAGGTAAATTACAGCATTATGAAATTTCCAAGGGAACATCTAGGCATATCATATTTCATCTTTGGTTAAATGTAGGAATTCTTAAAATTAAGAAAATTCTATATAAAGTGGAAAAAAAAAACCTTAATGCTATTATAAAATTCTGAGCATTACTTTTGAATTTAGAGAAGTCATATATATAAAGTATGGTTACGGATTTAAGAATATGTTTATTATATTGCTTTAAAGTTTTAGGTAATAAAAGCTTACCATAAGTTTATGACACAAAGTTAAAACCTTAATTGTGAGAAATTGGACAGATAATGAACTTCATTTTTCCACAACTATATCAATAGGGCATTGCAATTCCTAGAGCCGAAGTTTCCAAAATTCTTTTCAAATCTTTTCAAATAGAAAATGTAGTTTTACTGTTCTTGAGAATTTTGATACTTAAGTCTGTGGAAAGGTATAAATGTAAATAGAAACAGGCATCTAAAGCACCACAGGTCCATCACAGCCTGTTTAGCAGCTTGGAAATCTTAATTTAGATCAGGACATGCAGGGTGAGATGCAGGTACCTTTCCCAAAGTCACAGACATGAAGCAGGGGGCTGCCTGGCAATGGGGTCTCCAAACTCCCTAGTACACACCATCCCCCATCCCCAGGCCACGCTGATGTCTCACCAAGTTCATGTCCCTGCAATCTTCATGAAGGAGGCCTTTAAGAATGTGAACACGTTGCCTTAATGATGTGCTAAATATTCAAATTCCAGCATTAAAAATTTTTCTCACGAACCTAGCATCTGTAATCCTTAGGTAATAATGCAAATCACTGCAGTGGTAATGGTGGGCTCCCCAACCCCATTTTTCTGAATGAGTAAGGACAGTTAAACCTCCCAGGGCAGGAAGTAATCACAAGGCAAGCTCTCAGGATCATTGTTTTCTAACTCATTTCACATTTGCTAGAAATTTCCATACTCACATTTGGAAACTTTGTATATTTCAGGCCCTATGCTGTATGTACTTACAGAAAGTGATCTTAAATATTTCACCCAATAACATCTACAAAATGACTTCTCAACAAATAAGAAAAACAGGTCTCTCAGTTGGTATCGATTTCAGATACAGTTTCACATTATAGAAAGGCTACTAAAAGCCAGGTGCAGCGGTGTTGCATGGTCCCAGGAGCTACTCAGGAGTCTGAGGTGGGGGGATGGCTTGAGGCCAGGAGTCAGGAGTTCGAGACCAGTCTGGGCAACATAGCCGGGTGGGGTGGGTGCGCGAGAGGAGAGGAGAGAATGGAACCTAGGGCTGTTTTCCAAATGCAGATGACTGATGACTAGATGATATAAAGAAGGCACAACCAAAGCAACTGTAAAGTCAATAAACAATATTTTACTGAAACATTTCATAACACAGAAAATCTGTCTGCAGTGTAAAGTTACAGCCTTACACAAGGAGGAGGACAGACCTATTTTCAAAGACTAATATGAATACAATAAATATGGAGTTTGCATACTAATTTACACACAGAAACTTTGCCCCACAGCCATAAAATTTATATTGAACAGTGCAACATATAATTTAATCATTTGATTTATTTGACAGGTTTTCCTTACTAAAACACAAATAACTACCTGGTTTTCATATACATATATAATATATTTTTTATGTATATAGATATTCAACAATTTGTACAGTTTCTAAACATAAAACTCCTAAAAGGCACAATTGTCTATACAACATGTACAAAAATGGCTGGAGCTGACACAAAACAACAATTATTGGTCAAAAGTTCATGATTGCACAAAGATTAGTCATGAGTTTATGTCAGAAAAATGTGCTTTAAGGAAAGAAGGGTTTTCAAAGAAACCTTTAAGTGTTATTAAAAAAGAAACAATAAAAAATAAACCCCACTAGGTTGCTATCACAAGCCTGTCCTCATCATCATCGCTGCTCACGTCGCTCAACTGCACAGGGCGCTGCCTCCGGGGCAGTGCTGTGGGCCTGGGCACCTGCCTGTCTGGAGAGAGGGTCTGCCGGCCTGATGGCTTTGTGACACCTTCAGAATGTGCCTTCAGCAGAGGCTCTGCCACGGACACCAGCTGGCCCTGCACGCAGATGAGTTCAGGCTTGGGCTTCACATGATTTGCTGAGGCTGCCTTCTCTGTGTCCATTTTGCTTGAGCCATCCAGCCTTGCGTGGTCACCTGCAGGGGCAGGTGGATCCAGAACTTTTTTTGCGTTTTCCTGCTGGACTTTAGGTGACCCCTGAGGAGACTCGGTCCTGCTGACCTGGTTTGCATTGGCTACAGAAGTCTGCGTGGGTTGCGTCTCGCGTGCTTTGTTTTGGGAAGCTGGTATTTCGGGAGCTCCCTGTGCATCGACGGTAACCTGACCGACCGAGGGGATTAAAGTAGGCAATGCTATGTTCAAGATCTGGAGCCCTGGAATGTGGGCCTGGGGGGCGGGGCTGCTTTGTGAGGAAGGGTTTGCAGTCAGGACCTGCAGTCCCACGGCATTGAGCGCGAGTCCCGGCGGATGCACTTGCGGGGCCACGTTCGTATTGGCTAGGCCTACGATGTTGACGGTTTCCATGCTTAACGACGGAAGTGGCTGCAAGCCCGGCGTACTGAAGTTCTGAAGGCCTGGCACACGGATTTGGCCAATGGGAATACATGGCACAACGCTGCTTAGTTCAGCCACTCCAGCGGGATTTGTAGTGCCAGACACCTCTGTGACTGTGTCCCCAGGAGTGCCCACGGTTCTGTGGACGACACTGACAGCAGGGATCGTAAGCTGCACTGGCCCAGCCTGAAGGGGTACAAATGTGGAGTATGTGAGGCCAGCGGGTACCACGTGGATCCCCCCAACTGGAACCATATTATAAGGTGTCCTTGACTGCTGCTGGGAATGCAAAGGAAGGTGGCTGAACAAATGCGTCTGGGGCGAAGGCAAGCCTGGAGTCGGCTGCAGAGCTGTCTGCGGCTTCTGTTCCTGAGGGTAAGGATGAGGAGAGGCCACCGAAGGAATCCCCGCTGCCGTCTGAGGGCTGTGCCTGGCTGCAGCGGGAGCAAGTCCTATGGGCGATGAGCTCTAAACAAGAGAGAACAATCCTTTTACGGCAGGGCTTCCTTAATCACCGCGCTAGAATGCCAGTGCTAAATCTATTCCTTCCCCAGAGGTGAAAGTGCATACATTTGTATTTTATAAAAATGAGAAGCTTGCTAAAAACTATTGTGATTTTTAAAAATGAATTTCCGATTAAAAACACTATTACATATTTAATTTCTTTCTTTTCTAGTACAAATAACAGGAACACATTTTGTACAGTTCTTCGCATTTTTCAAACAAATTTCCTGGCTATTGTCATCTTCTGAGCATAAACCTGAGAGGCGGGCATAGCTATATTCTCATGTTGTTGCTGTTATTGTTCCTGATGCCACCAGCTCCACCTTATTTCAGAGGTTTGGAGTCGCTGGGAAATTGAGATATTAGTTGGCTGTCAGTGTCAACTCATTGGGGAAAAATTAACTGAAGGATTATTTGCTCATGAAGTAAAGAGGCATCATTAAGAGAAAGGTCTGCAGTTGTTTGTTCATTTGTTCATTCATTCGCATTTTATGAAATGTCTACTGAAAACCAGATTTCCAGGCACTGGTAAGTGTGCAAAAGATTTTGGGATAGAGCAGCTTAGAGCATGGGTGGCCAGTGTTAAAGTAACAAACTGTTATTGGAAGGGACACATCTGGCCCATCCTTCCTCCCACCCAAGGTTATTATCTAAATATTAGTTTTTCCTTGATAATATCTAGCGCTATACTTTAGAGCTACATTAACTTACATATTAACTTAATTTCTATGTTAATAATTTAAGTTAAATATTAGTATACTTTAACTAAGTTATATTAATCTAGGCTAGACGGTCTATAAAAATCCAAGTTTTTACAGTCTTTTTATTTTTCTCCGTTACCTAGCAAATCAAAATCTTCCACATTTAGAAATAAATTCTATTGCAATATTCAATACTTACTAGAGGTAAGAGAACTGTCAATGAGAGGAGAATGCATTCCTCCCGGAATTAATCACTTGTCACAGACAGCCAGAGGTAGAGCAAGGAATCGCTCACAGCGCATGGAGCGTGCCTTTCCGGAGGCCTGTGTCTGCCTTCAGCTAGTTCTTGGGCAGAAAGCTCTCCCAGGCTGCTACAGCAATTTGATCATTCAAGCAAAGTGAACCTCTTGATATGTTTTTGGGTCACGTTAACTTTGCCACGGAAACTGGCAGCTGTCTTGCCAATGGTGGCAAAGTGCAAAATGTATGGATCACGTAGTGCGAACACATCGCATCAACAATGGCAAAATGAGTCACGGGGAGCCGTGGAATGAACCAGTCCCAGGATCTGTCTTCTCAATTGGCACATACATATTTTTTCATTTGAAAACATTTTGAAAAAAGTAAATAATGAGTATATTTTTCAAGAACCATTTGGTTCTTTCACAGATTTACAACATAATATGTGAACTCTGATTAAAATACCCAACAAGACCCCAAAGGACATAAATGTCCTCTGCTCTTAAATATAAAAAAAAAAAGAAATAAAGTCTTATAAACTGATTTGCACATAAATAAATCATTTAGATACATTGTTTTCTTAAGCCATTAGGTTCCCGTATTTAATAGGTTAAAGAAAAGAAAAGAAAAGAACCACCTCTAATCATTTACCTGTGTTAAAGCAATAGCTTTTTCTGTCACAGAACTTCTCAGAACTTCTTCTGATTCAGGATAGTCCACAGACATCTGATGACACGGGGATCTGGGTGCAGCTTCTGGTGACCCGGAAGAGTCTGCAGGAGGAATCACCTCATCTTCATCTCTCGCCGCACGCGGCCTTGCCTTCCCCGGAGAGTCTGCCTTCCTGCTGCAGTCAGACTGCACTGTGCTCAGGACTGTCATCTTGGTGAGCAAAGCTCTCGGCAGAACGTCCATCGGGTCGGGATGTGCCCCGGAAAAGCAACCGCTAATCCTGATGTCCTCCTCAGCACCCACAGGGTCCTGCAGGCCACCTCTGGACGGAAGGTGCTGCGGGCTGGCTGTGACCGAGGGTGTGGCTGACAGGACTGATTCCGTCTGGCTGTCTTCATCATCGTCTTCGTTTTCATTATCATCCTCGTCGGGGCCATCAGATTCTTCAAGATCATATCCGGACCGCTCATAACTGAATCTTTGCTTTTCATCTAATAAAAACAACCAAGAGAGTATGTTACAGAATGTTTCGAAAGTAGACAAACACAATTTTTTGTTTTTTATAAGCGTGGCAACACTGTGCGGAATATAAAAGACAAGAACCCTGCCCACAAAAAGCCCACATGCTAGTGGAGGAGGATGACGAGGAGAAGATTCGGTCAGTCCAACAGGATTCAGAGGAGTAGGGCGCTGGGCGAGGGGGACATGGCCAGGCAGGCGGCCTTAAGGATGAGAATGAAATGAGCCTCAAGAGAGGAATTAGACAGGCAGAGAGTAACATACAAAGAAACTCAGAAATGAAGGCCTCAAACTCTATGCTTGAAAAACTCCTAAAACACAACTGAACTATGTAAAAAATTAATGGAGTTCAACACTTTTCCTGAGCTCTTTTTCTCTACTTCTTTGTATCTTTCTTTTATTGAACAAATCAAAACAAACACAAACGATGACATTTGGTATTTGTGAGCAAAATAATTTTTCTTAATACTTGAATAGTATTGTAGACATGTTTCAATTGTCCTTTGAGTAGAAATATTCATCTAATATTTAATCTGCTTTCTTCTTCTTTTTTTATTTACTAAGAGAGGTGCTAAAGTTTCCTGTCAATTTTTTCTGTATTATGACTAAAACCCATTCCTCACAGAAGGGGGATATTATCTTACAGTCATCAATACCAGCCTTGTAACATTATGTGAGACTGCGTTTAACAAGGAATATTCAAGATGGTTCAGGAAACAGTTTCAAAATTCTTATAAGCTCATGTGGGACTTGGTTTAAAAGCTTCATCTATTCAAAATCTTGCAAATTAGAGGCCTTCTCCCTTAGAAAGCTAAAAAGTTTATTAGGGGGGAGGAATGCAAAACATTTACCTGATTTCTTTGCCACTGAGATATAATAAAGATGACATCAGACAACACAGAATTTAGCTGTGATACATTCTGCATTTACGAGTATTTTTTGAAGAGTGAAAAAATATAAATAGAGAAATAAGCCACAGATATTTTTCCTGGCTTTCACAAATAGTCTACACATGATTTTACTACTCTTTCTATTTAATAAAGGTAAGTTCTTAGAGAAAAGTCTCAGAACACCTATACCAAAACATTTAAGGGTGATTATTTCTAGGGGATAAAAAGGACTAGAATTGTTATTTACCATGAAGATGTGTTAGTTTTATAATTAAAAAACTTAAAGATAAAACACATGTACTTCAGTTCTTTCAGTACGAGATTTTGTAGGCCTTTTGCTTTCAGGGTTCTACTAGTGTGTTATAAAATAAATAATAAAATAGAATAATACCAAATTTTCTGAATCCTACTAGGGCCCAGGCTGGAGACGGAATGGGTGATTTCTGGCCAAATGCCCAGATTCCTGGCTCAGATATTTCTCTTATATTTTGTCTGATGTTTGACATTCTAAAATTAGAGAGTCATCCTCAATTTAACCTGAATTTGCCACGTTAATGCCAAATTAGATTTTGTGTTTTGGAGACGCATCTCCTTTTAAAGGAGAAAAACAGAAAGACTGGAGGGAGCTGGATGGTGGAGAAAACAGGTTCCTGGCTGATTCCATCCAAGGACGGCCTTGCTGCAGTCTAACTAGGGTGGACTTGCTTTACTTAAAATCTACCCTTTACATATTAAAACAGTGTACGTAACTTTCAATTTACAATTTTTTTCCAAACCCATCAAAAAGTGGAGGTCCCAGACAATCAATAGTCTAAAGTCTAAGGAAAGTCAGGGTCTGCAGGCAAAGAGGAGACAGGAGCTTGTGTCTAGAGTGGTCTGTTTGAGCCAGGAGTGGGTTGGCAGGATTGTGTGAAAGCTCTGGGAGCCACACTCTCCTGCAGGATCTTCACCATGACCCTCCGCCCCAGGCACTCAGAGAAAGAGCGCGAGGAAGTGCCCACTGTCGCCCAGATTTGGGAGAGAAGAGCAGTCGCCATACAGGAGTGGAAAAACTTCGCCTGGATCCATCTCCCCTCTCTCCACTAGGGAAAATAAAGCCTTATCCTGTGAGGGGAACACTGGAGAAAACTCACTGCAGCGGGGGAAGGAAAAAGGAGAAAAAGCACAACTTGACTTTTTGGGGAGGGACATTACCGCAGAGCCCACCACAACCGAGGGAAAGGTAGGAGAAGCGCGAAGGCTCAGAAACCTAGGAATGCGATGCACGTAGGAGGCAAGCTCAGGACAGAGACGGCACCTCTCCTCCTCCTGACCCCCCACAGCCAAGCTGTGGAGCTCTGAATTGCAGGTGGCAGCAAAATACTGCTGGGAGAAGGGCAGGAGAAGAACAAGAATGTGCAGAGAGACCCCCTCTGAGGCACGGCACAAAAGGGAGTCCTAAAACTAGAATTGGACTGATGCTGTTCTTGTAATCCAACCCCCTTGCAGGACACGAGGTATCTCTACAGGAATTTGAAGCCTCTGCATGCAGTGAGGACAGGCATAGCAACAACAACTCTCTCAAACCCAGCCTTGCTCCTAACTAGATAAACACTGTCTCCCACAGTAAAGGTCTATATAAGAAGGACAGAGATGCCCATTTCTAAGCACAAAAGCAATTTACACAAGTGTCTATTGTCTTACACAAGATGTATAGCTTTCAACACAAAATTACAAGGCATACAAGAAGGCAAAAAAAAAAAAAAGAAAAGAAAAAAGAAAAAAATCCAAAGAGAGAAGGCAATCATCAGAACTGGAGTTAGGTATGACGCAGATGCTAGAACTGAGAATTTAAAATAATTATGATTACGTTAAAGGCTTTAGGGGGAAAGGCAGACAACATGCAATAACAGATGGGACTTGCAGTTGAGAGAGAGAAACTATAAAAAAGCACAAAATGAAAATGCTGCAAATGAAAAACACAGCAAAAAAAAAAAAAATAACAAGAAAACTGTCAAATCCGCAATTCTACGCCCATTGAAAATAATTTTCAAAGATGAAAGAGAAACACAGTCTTTTTTAGAAAAACAAAAACTAAAGGGATTCATTGCCAGCTACTTGACCTACTTACTGGACAATAAATGTTAAAGGAAGTTCTTCAGGCAGAAGGAACATAATAGCAGATGGAACTCTAGATCTACCCAAAGAAACAGAGAGCAAGGAAAATGGAAGAGATGAGGATAAGATTATTTTTTCTTATTTTTAATTGCTCTAAAAGATAACTGAATGTCTAAAGCAAAATAGTAATAATGTATTATATACTGACAGTAAATATAAACATAAAAAATATGACCATAATTACATAAAAGATGGAAAGGAGGAACTGTGCACATACTGTAGTAAAGTCTTTATAGTAATACTACATGTAAAGCAATATATTATTTGAAGGTAGACAACTAAAACTTTTTAAAGTCAATAGAAGAAATAGAGTCATAAAAAATGATTAATACTGAAAAAGGCATAAAAAGAAAACTGAAACAAAAAAATGAAACAAATAGAAAACAGCTGCCAAGTGGTAGATTTTAATCTAACCACACAAATAATAATATTAAAAGAAATGGTCTAACACATAAATTAAACAATGACTAAGACTGGATAAAAACGCAAGTCCCAAGTATATACTGTATAAAAATATATTTTAAATATAAAGACATAAATAGGTTGAAAGGAAAAGTTTAGATAAAAATATACCTAATCACCCACTAAAATATAGCTGCAGAAACTATACTAATACCAGACAAAGTAGATGTCAGAAAAAAAGAATATTATCAGGGATAAACAGGAGTACTGCATAATGATAGAAGGGTCACTTCCTATGAACATAACAACCCTGTGTGTATGCAACTAAATAGAGCTTCACAATAAATGGGATAAAAACCGAAAAAATACATCTACAATCATGGTTGAAGACTTCTAACACTCCACTCTCAGTAACTGATGGAACAAGTAAATAGAAAATTAGGAAGAACACAAAAGACCTGAAAAACACAATCACCCAATAAGTCTAATAGACATTTATAGAATGTTCCACTCAACAGCAGAATATACTTTTCTTGTAAGTGTACATGGAACGTTTGCCAATATATAACATACTCTGAACTATAAAAGAAACCTCAATTAATTTAAATGAATAGAAATTATACAACATATATTTTTTATATGAAAACAGAATTAAATCAAAAACAATTAATTGGAAGATATCTAAAAAACCCTAAAATATTTCAGAATAAACACATTTTTAAATATTTATTGGATCAGTGAAAAAGTCTCAAAGAAAATGTCAAAAGATTTTAAACTGGATGAAAATTAAAATATCGCATTCAAAATTTGTGGGATGTAACTAATGCAGTAGTTATAGTAGGAAACTTTCTGCATTCAACATTTTTATTGGAAAAGAAAGGTCTCAAATCAATAATATACATTCTCACCTTTAGAAATTAGAAAAAGAAGACCAAACTAAATCCAACACAAAGAAAGGGAAGAAAATGATAAACATAATGACAGAAACAATGAAACCAGAAAAAGAAAAATGGAGCAAGCCAGTGAAACCAAAAGCTGGGTCTTTTGGAAAAAAAAAAAAAATCAGTAAAATTAATAAACCTCTGGTAATACTAGCCAAAAAAAAGAAGGAAGATACTGATTACCAATATCAGGAAAGAAAGAGGGGATATTACTATAGATCCCACAGACATTAAGATAAAAATAAGGGAATCCACAAAAAACACTATGCCAGTATATTGGACAACTTAGATGGAATGCACCAAGTCCCTGAAACACACAAACTATCAAAACCCACGCAAAAGAAACAGATAACCTGAGTAGTCCTTTATTTACTGAAGAAAGAATTCATAGTTAGAAACTTTCTCCCCAAATAAAAAACTAAAACCCCAAGCCCATATGGTTTCACTGTTAAAGTCTACCAAACATTTAAGGAAAAAATAATATAATAATATAAATAGTATAAATTCTACACAGCATCTTCCAGAAAACAGAAGAGGAGGGAGCACTTTCCAGCTTATTTTATGAAGCATTACTCAAAGATT